CATCTTCATGCTATTTCTTCTCTTCATATCCCATCACCCTAAACTACTATCTGAGATGGAGAAATGGAGAGAAAGGCAAAGACTATATAACCAATGCGATATTGGGAGGCACAATCATACCTATTTTTCGCAGGGCTTGAAACGAATTTCAGAATATGGGCTCCTAAATCACAACAAACAATCAATTTTTTTTATTTTTAAGAGTTTTATGGAATTAAATTTGTTAAATTAAAATCAACAATAAAAGAAAAAACAAAATAAGATATTCAAAATATTTATATTACAATCAAATAACAATGCGAAAATGTTCCAAACGATCACTTAAATACGACTCGTTTTGCGATTTTAGAGGCAAAAATATCAATCAATTTTAGATAGTCGAGTTGTTCAACAATTTCTTTTTCAATGGATAACATGGACAATTCATTCAATCTTTGTTGTGATATAGTTTATCGACGATAAGTTTTGATCAATTTCGACTTGAAGAAACTATTTATGTCGATGCAACTGTAACCTGGATGGTTAGTGAAAGGGGTTCAAATTTGAGTGTAAAATGGGCTCAAATTAATTTAAGAAAGAAACATTAAAAGAGATGATTTTTTTGTTAAAATATTGTACGAACACATAGCATAGTTATATATAATAGGATAGAGTGGTAGACCACTTAGGAGAAAAAAATGACGATGTCAATCATTAAAAATAGTGAATGAATCAAAGGGTAAAGGTAAATTTATGAGAATGATAACATAAATATATACATAATAATCAATAAACCAATGGGTAGTACTATATTCATGAATCCCTCGTAAGTCATAATTCATAAACCAAAAACAATCAAGTTGTCTACAATCAAAGAATCAAAAGCTATTGTAAACTAAATCACTAATTCCTCATAAACCAAAGGCAAATTCATAAATCATAAGACAATAACATAATAAACTAATAATCAATTACATATACAACATACACATATACAGCCAGTCAAGGATAGAGACAGTGCACGGATTCATAGAATATCAAAATTATATGCAATCAAAGAAAATAAATTATTACCTGTTGAAAAGAGCTGGGCCTGAGGCGACAACCTCTTGAGCCTCGCCTCAGGTCCGGCTCTGTTGGGAGGGAATAATAGGGTTTTGAGGAGAAAAGTTTAATGTTTCGTTGCATGATTTCAATAGAAAGAAAACATTCACTTTTTTTTCTTTTAATAATAAGCCAAACCAATAACAAATCAAGCATGTTTGGAAAATGTATATATAATAAATGGTTCAAATTATAATAGATTAAAATAAGTTATGAATAATTAAATAATAAATTGAGATAATTGTATAGTCGAGTTTATTTATGGGACATTAATTAGGGACTTGGACTGGAGCAAATTTGGCCGTCAATATCCAAAATTCTCTTACTTAGCCCCTGTTTGATTTTTATTTTTTGAGAAGTAATTTTGTAAAATGTAGTTTTTTTTAAGAATACGTCGTTAATAAGTGGAAAAAAATAATGGTCTACGTGCAAAATTATTTTATTGAAAATTGACAAAATTGATAAAAGTCGTTGATCTTCTTATCATATTTATGAATCTTTCGCTATCAATGGCATAGAAGAATACAGATATCGAGCTCGAATTCATAGTAGTAGAGATTATAAATGTGCTTTCACTATCCAAGGTAACATGATTTCGACTGATTTCTATTTTCCAGAGGGGAGGAGTTTTTCAAAGCCTTAGTCGATATCCTTTTCAGTGTTATATCATAAATTCATTCTATTTGCATACCAAAAAATAGAAAACTAAAACAATACAAGAAAATAAAAAATCCCAGAATTTAAGCATTCAAAACCTATTATCCATTTGGACTCAAATATTTATGCAGTTCTCCATTGCATCTCAATCTGAACTCGACCATTATTCGAGTCGAAACATCAAGAACGTGACACATAATTCCGATCCTAAAATGTTTTATCCATATTCAAGAAAACTAAAACCTAAGTGTTGCACCTTGTTACGGGCCTGTGTCAGACCCGCCACCTCGCCCGCCACGTGTCAACACCCGTGGCCCGAGCCACGTGCCGGACGAGGTGCTTGACCCAAGAACTAAACTGATTG